AAGTGTTGGTCGGCTACAAGCGATGGCTTTCGCGCCGAATCAAAAGATTTGGCAAAATTGAGTTCTTCTTGTTGTGGATACTGTTGTGGCTGTAAATGCTGTTGGTTTTGATATTTGGCTTCATTTTCACGACAAACAAAACCAATAAATATAATGGAAATTATTTGAATAATTGATTCTACAATTGTAATCATTTAATTATACCTTTTTGTCTCTGAATTATGATAAGGTGTGCCGCAGCACGAAATCTATAGACAAAAATTGATTATTAATTTTTATTTGAATGAGTAATGTCTCAAAAGATGTTTATTTAATGACTATAAACCTGGAAATGGGTCGAAACAATCGCTTGTGTTTAATTATGACAAGATTGGCGGCTTCATAAAGGGTGGTTTGGGGCCGATTATAGCCATCCATCCTCTGTCCATATCCCGTGTCATTTCCGCCAACTTTTCATTAAAAAAAACACTTATTTTAATATAAACTTAGTTAATGGTCATTTTATCAATATAAATTTTGGTTCTTTATGCAAATTGTCACTTCATTTAATATTTTATGTAAAAATTGCAAATCACACACAATAAACAATATAATCCATGCACTATATTACAAATGGATTAGTTTTGTGTGTTTTAATATAGCACTTATTATTTTAATAACTTAACAAAATGCGATGAAATGCCGAGAATAGGAAAACCGAAGTGCTTTTGATTTAATGAGACTTTTATTATATTGTAAACTACTGTATTCTCTAAGGAGTTGAAAGTAATTTTCATATTAAAAGCATGTTTTTGCATATCATTTGTTTTTGATGTAAATGTAGAAAAATTCTGGATTCTCTATAAAAATATTATTATTTGTTTGTGCTTGGAATAAAAAACAAAACTTATATGAAATTATTTCATAACTTATGTATAATTTATTTCAACTCAAATGCAGATAAATAAATGGTAAAAACCTTTAAAGGAGTGGTACTGAACGACACCAGAATTGGCTTTTAAATTCTCAAACTCATCGCCGCTCTGTCGGAGACCCAATTGAATCCATTGCCGCTGAACGTAGT